AAGGAGATCGGACGAAGCACATTTTACCGAAGTTCTTCTCAACCTCAGACTGGCAGAAGGACGGCACTCTCAGCGTTCAGCAGGTCCGATCCAGTGAGAATTCAGCTGACCTCTTCACCAAATCATTGCCTACTTCAACACACCGGAAGCTCGTCAAACAGATAGGAATGTATAGACTTAGAGATCTGCAGTGATGCTACAATCAGGGGGAGTAATGCGTGTTGTACTCTTTTTCCTTCACCAAGGTTTTGTCCCACTGGGTTTTTCCTGGTAAGGTTTTAATGAGGCAACATTCCCCAGCGCATTATCGAGATCCCGATTGAGTAGCTGACCCGGTTCACTCGTCCAAGGGGGAGTGTTAAACACATATCATATATGGACTCTTATACCGGGCCATTAGGCCCATCAGGACATTGTACTTAACCTAGATTCCCTATGTACTCTATATATACATTCTAATGATTAATAAAGTTTCTAAGTTTTCACAACAGAAAGAAGATTTAATAGATTTTGTGAATTTATTTCACTAATTAAAAGAAAACACATATAAGCGGCAAACGACACCGTTTCAAGGGGTCTGTTGAATAAAAAACGCTTTCTTCTTGCATCGGCTATCGTTCCGTTGCGCTCGGCTACTTCTTCTACCTGAGAGAAGCCTCCTCGAGGAGGAGACATACAGAAAGAAAGCAACGAAGAAGACGAAGATGGCGATTACGATTCGAATATACGTCACTCTCTTACTCTCCTTCCTTTTGTTCTCCACGCTTCGCGCATTCTATCTTCCCGGTGTCGCTCCTCGCGATTTCCAGAAGGTACTCTTTTGGTTATTCCGGTCTCACGTTTCACGACGATATCGATCTAGGGTTTCCTGTGTTAATTGCGATTTGTTGTGGTTGTAATTCAACCCAGATCTGTGGGAAATTCTTGCGTCTAGTATTGTCGAAACAATATTCGAGCGTTTTTAGCGAAGTAGTGTTTGCCAACGAAGAATGTAGGGATCTAATTTATTCGATTACATAGTGCATTGGATGTTATAATCAGCTTACATTGATTCGAATTGAAGCTTTTGAGCTCATGATTTGCAAATCTTCCCTGTGATTACCTAATTGGAACAGGGTGATCCTCTTTATGTTAAAGTGAACAAACTATCGTCTACGAAGACTCAACTTCCTTATGATTACTACTACCTTAATTACTGTAAGCCTCCCAAGATCTTGAACACCGGCGAGAATTTGGGGGAGGTTCTCAGAGGAGACCGCATTGAGAATTCGGTTTATACTGTAAGCAAAAACTCTTATAAAATTCCTTTTCTTTCTTTCTGATCTTTGTGCATTAACCCCTCACCATCTGATGTTGGAGATATTTTTTTTCGATTATGTTTCAGTTTGAAATGTTGGAGGATCAACCTTGCAGAGTAGGTTGCCGTGTGAAAGTCGATGCTGTGTCTGCTAAAAATTTCAGGGAAAAGATTGATGATGAATACCGAGCTAATATGTAAGTTTTATGTCCTTGATACCTATATGAGGTAGCTTTGATTTTATCCTTTTAATTTGATTGTGAAATGACTGTAGGATTCTTGATAATCTTCCGGTAGCTGTTCTTAGACAAAGAAGAGATGGAAGTCAGTCAACGACTTATGAACATGGTTTCCGTGTTGGCTTCAAAGGGAGTTATGAAGGGGTAATATGTCTCTAAAACCTCTATGGCTACATTCTTACCTCCCACTTTTTTTGTTTTGTTTTCTTTTTCTTGTATCAATCTGGAGTAGCTTGCTTTGCTGTTGTAGAGTAAAGAGGAGAAATACTTTATCCATAACCACTTGAGTTTCCGAGTTATGTACCACAGAGACGAAGAGTCTGATTCTTCTCGAATTGTTGGTTTTGAGGTTACTCCTAACAGGTATTTTTTTTTTTTTACTGGTTATCATCAACGTTATTGAGAAGTCTGATTCGTCTCGAGCTCACTTTTTTTTTTCTCTCTTTTTGGATAGTATGTTGCATGAATACAAAGAGTGGGATGAAAAAAATCCTCAGTTAACAACATGCAACAAAGACACAAAGAATCTGATCCAAAGCAACACTATTCCACAAGAAGTTGAGGAAGGAAAAGAGATCGTGTTTACGTATGATGTCACGTTTAAGGTAATTGAATTACCTATGAGAGCTTGTTATTTGCGCTCTGTTAACATATTAAGACGTTTGAAAATATGCAGGAGAGTGAGATCAAATGGGCTTCGCGGTGGGATACATATTTGCTCATGAATGATGATCAAATCCACTGGTTTTCAATCATAAACTCGCTTATGATTGTCCTTTTCCTCTCTGGAATGGTAGCGATGATCATGATGAGAACTTTATACAAGGATATTTCCAACTACAATCAGCTCGAAACCAAGACGAGGCTCAGGAAGAAACCGGGTGGAAACTTGTACATGGAGATGTCTTTA